CAGCCAGAGCATCCTGGGGAGGCAGCCCCAAGCTCTGTGCTGTTTTCCAGCTGTCCTGAGCCAGGACAAAGCTCAAGACACACTGAACATCGAAGGCAAAGGATCATAGGTTGGGTTCACAGCATCCCAGACTAGTTTGAGCTCACTGAGTTCCAACCAGAACACAGACTGAGGTCCCAGCAGTGCTGCCAGCCTCCATTGGGCACAAACCCTGCCTGTGCTCACCCACCCCATGCACAGTTAGGCAGGAAGACCCAGCAGTGACCAGTGAACCCCGTTTCATGGTGGCCTCGGTATCAAGGGACCCCACTGGTGCTGTGATGAGGCCACCAAGAGCTGGCCCCATCCCTGCAGGGCTGGACCGGGGGTTTCTGGGGTTGGAGACCCCTCACTGCTGCCTCCTACCTGCACTCACTGAGGTGGCCTGGGTGGGATGAGGAGGAGCCGATGGGGTTATTTAGTGCCTGGACCCAGGCACAGATGCCCGATGGTGAAGCACCCACCTGGAGTAGGTGCCTGGCTGATGTGGCCATCAATTACCCAGCGAATGGGGATGGAGGACAGGTAGCTGCAATGGGCAGCCCCATGCAGGAGCCCAGCACATGTAATTAATCCTCGTTAGCAGCCTGATGGGGAGAGGGGTGCAGGGGCTGCTCCTGCAGGAGGGTCCACTCCTCCGTGTGTACCCCTCCCATCCCATCCCACCTCTGTCCCCTCTCCTGCCTCTCCCTTGCTATCCTGGTTTCCTCCTGCCTCTCTCCATCCTTTCTTCCCACCCCTCCCGCTACAGAGATGCTCTTCCCATCCCTAAAGCAAGGCTGAGGCTGGTCCCTGCCTGCTGAGCTCAGCTCCCAGCGGGTGCCCAGGATCCCTTATGATGGGGCAACCACAAGGACTTGGTCATCCCATGCCACAAGACAGGGCTTGGAGCAAGCTGCTCTAGTGGAAGGTGTCCCTGCCCGCGCCAGGGGTTGGAGCTGGAGGAGCTTTAAGCTCCCTTCCAACCCAAACCAAGCTGGGATTCAATGATAAAACCAAGGCGTTCCAAGCCACAAGGCCACCTCCAGAGCCCGGACCCACACTGCTGCACCCCAGCCCATGGGGACACTGGGGACATGAGGCTCAGAGGGCAGGAGCAGAGCAGGGCCTGGCCGGGGCAGCCTGGCAATGAGCGCTCGCAGGGACGCGTCATCCCCAGCCTGACATCCCTGGAGCGAGCAAATGCCACTGCTCACACAGCAGATGGCAAAGCCTCCGGGAGGGAGGGGAGCGGGGCCCCCATCAGCACCCCCAGCCATCGCCTCAGCTCTGCGCCTCCCTCTCAGGGCTGGGAGCCAGCACTGGGCTCCCAGGCTCTCTCCCCCCAGCTCCAGGCATCCCCATGGACACCACCCCAGGAGCAAGGGACCGACCCCAGCCTCCTGCCCCGCAGCGCCTCGCATCCAGGTCCACCAGCCAGCGCTCCCATAGGATGCATTGGGCTGAACCAAAGCAGGGCCTTGATTTGAAAGGAAATAATAACCCTGGAATGAATAAATAAATAAATAAGTGACAAGCCCGAGCACAAATCTGCTTTTAAATTCAAATGTGCAATATGGCCCGGAGCCGCGGAGCCAGAAGGAAACTACAGATTTGGGCAAGGAAACAGGGAATGTTTCACTTTAGCTCTGTCCAAGCCGTCAGGATTTACAAAGCCGTGAGGGAGGTGGGGAGAACAGAGCGCTGCTCCCCAGGGATATCGCCCCCCCTGCCCAGGCTGCTATCGCACAACCACAGCATCAGCCAGGTTGGAAAAGAGCTTCGAGATCACCCAGTCCAACCGTTCCCAAGCACTGCCAAGGACACCACTGACCCACGGCACTGAGGGCCTCGTGCACGCGGTGTGTGAACACTTCCAGGGATGCTGATTCCCTCACCTAAAGAGTTTGTCCAGCTCTCACATCCCACATTGGGTCCCCATCGTGTCCCACCAGCTCCATGGCGGTACCAAAGTGGGGGGCTCTCCCTGGGGATGTTCAATCCTTCAGTACTCACAGGCGTGCAGCACCCAGGCAGGAGCTGGTACCCAAGGAGGACCGTGGCACCCAGACCCTGCTCCGGGCACACTCAGGATCACAGCAACACCCATGGTGGCAGCGGCTCCACCCTGCTCAGGCTGGGTGCTCACATGGGACAGCAACACCATGACCATGGTCCTTGTCCTGCCAGGGTGGGGGGCTGCAGCCCTCACCCTGTTCCAGGACAAGGGATGCTCTCTTGGACCTCGGGCTACCAACCCAGCAGCAGTGACCAATTCCGACCCTTCGGGCCCTTCCTCAATGAAGGGTTCCCGGGTTCCTGCCCCGGGAACCGGGAGCAGTAGCCGGGATTCAGAAGTGACGCGAGTTCAGTCATGCACAGCCGGGCCTTCACCTCTCCCGCAGCCAGCACCCAGCGCCCGGGATGCTCACGGGGATGCGGCCCCCAGCAAGCGCAGTCCCCGCCGAGGGAGGCTGCAGCATCGCCCGGTCCCGGCACCGGCGGCATCGGCAGCACCGGCAGCACGGACCGACAGTGCCACCTTGTGCCGCCTGCCAGAAGGATGCCCGCGGACGGGGGGGTCCGATACAGGGGGCTCGTTCCGGAGTGGGGTGGGGGGGGTCCGTCCCCGGGATGCGGGGATACAGCGGGAGCGCGCACAAGGGGATGCTGCGCCCGTGGCCGTGTCCTGAGAGGGGGAGCTACGGGACCCCGTGTCCCAAACCCAGCCCCGACGATGTTGATGCATCGCAGATAGACACGGACCACGCAACTTCAGACATCGCCCAGGGCCATCCCAGGAGGAACCCCCTCGTGTTCTGCACAGGGAGCCTCGTGCTGGTGGGGATGGGGAGCGGGGTTATCCATGAAAACAGGGGGTCCCCACCGAGCACAGCCCAGCCTCCCCCCAGAACATGGGGCAGCACGGCTGGGCATCACAAAGTGGGATGCAGGGGTGGCTCCTGCGGTGTGAAGGCACATGGGAGGCATCAGGCAGTGCACTGTCACCCCACGCCAGGGCTGCAGAAGCCATTGGCAATGCCATGCCATGTCCCCAGGTCCCCCTGTCACAGGCACATCCTGCACCATGAGTGTGGAGAGCAGAGGGGGACTCACACCCTGACCACAGGGTGGGGGGGGACCTGCCGCACAAATCACTGCTGGTACCAAATGTCCCTTCTTATCAAGACCGGACGGGTATTCAATTTTCTCTTCAAACGCCTGCCTCTGAAATGGTAATAGAATTTCCAATCTAGAGAAAAACGGAGGGGAAAAACTGAATATGCGAGGATTAACAATGAGAGAGAGACAAAGGGAGAAATTAGACCCAAAAAATATAGCGGGAGCCTATGCGGGAATTAATTAAATACAAATATAAAGAGAAAATTAACAGTCTCATGCTTCGGAGGGGGAGAAAAGGGATATTTTCTGAGCTTAATTAACCTTCTTTTGCCAAGCACAATGAGGAGGAAGGGGGAAGGGAGGGAGAGGAGAGCAGACTCCTGCTTGTTTTGCCTTGCAGATGATTGCAGGAAGGGGCCGGGCTTTGCCCACACAGGTTTGGGATGCACAGGTCCGGCTCATGCGTGTGTTGGGATTGTGTGTGGACAATAACTCCTGTGTTGGTCCTCATGGGCAGATACATGGGGGAGCAAAGGGAGAGCTGGGAAGAGCCATGGTCTGGGATGCCAAGGGATTGAGGAGGGGACAACCCCTCCTGGCAGGGACAGCAGGAAAGGAGAGCTTTGGGATGCGGCTGGTGGCCATCAGGGGCATGAGATGATGATCCCCATTTCCAAGCTCCCAAATGTCATGTTTGCAGGTTTGGTACCTGCAGAGCTCAGAGGAATCATCACAGGGCAACAACTTAGGGATAGGATGGGGCTTGGAGCAAGGGGTAGCAGATTAATGGTCTTTGTCACCTCTGTCCCCTCCTGGGGAAAGCAGGGGAGATGGGCAGTGACAGCAGGTGAAAAACCACAGGATAAGGCAAGGAAAGGCAATGACAGTGCTTACATGAGCATTTCCGTGAGCATTCCACCCTCCATCACTTGTGTGCCTGGATGGATGATGGAGAAGCCAGGGCCCATGCTCCTGGATGAGGATGCAAAGAGCAGAGCAGCTTTCCAGGCAGGATCAGCTGGATGATGGAATTCATAATTCCCATGCAGGAAGCTCCTGAGAGGCACAAGCTGAAGAGCTGGGTCCATGTTCCATCCCTGGCAGTGTTCAAGGCCAGGTTGGACAGAGTATTAGGCGACATGGTCTAGTGGAAGGTGTCCCTGCCCATGGCAAGGGGTTGGAACTGGATGATCTTAAAGTCCTTTCCAACCCAAACCATTCTATGAGTCTATGATTCTGTGATCTCTGCTTGGGTCTGGCCCTGTCAGCACAGCATCACCCAGGACACAGCATCACCTGGACACAGCATCACCCAGGACACAGCATCACCCAGGACACAGCATCACCCAGGACACAACATCACCCAGGACACAGCATCACCTGGACACAGCATCACCTGGACACAGCATCACCCAGGACACAGCATCACCCAGGACACAGCATCACCCGGACACAACATCACCTGGACACAGCATCACCCAGGACACAGCATCACCCGGACACAGCATCACCCAGAAACAGCATCACCCGGACACAGCATCACCCGGAAACAGCATCACCCAGACACAGCATCACCCAGGACACAGCATCACCCGGACACAGCATCACCCGGACACAGCATCACCCAGAAACAGCATCACCCGGACACAGCATCACTCAGGACACAGCATCACCCAGAAACAGCATCACCCGGAAACAGCATCACCCAGGACACAGCATCACCCAGGACACAGCATCACCCAGGACACAGCATCACCCAGGACACAGCATCACCCGGACACAGCATCACCCAGGACACACACAAGATGCCACAGGGAGCGGGATGGGGTGATCAGTAACTTAACCCCAGCATCAGCAAGTGTTCATTTCCCCAACACAGCTCCTTGTCTGTCCAGGCATAGATTGCAGAATCATTCAAGAGTGTTCAGTGTAAATGACTGTGGGTACAAGGAGTGCTGGAGCTGCAGGCTGGGAGCGTTGCAGTGAAGTGCACAAGGTATGTGGCAAATGACGTCCCTAATTGATGCAATTTATAAATTGGGTTTCATAAATTAGCTACCCGAGGTGCAGAATGAGTGTCAGATTGTGTACTCCATTGTCACAATCAGAGCTCAGCATCAGGTGAGTGCGAGGATTAATCCCGACAGCACCAAGTCTGGGTGCTGCAAAGAAAGAAACAGAAATACCAAACTCTATCTAATAGCTCAAACTAGGAGGTTATTGGCACTAATAAAGTGCAACCACTCAATTACTTATTGGGGGGGGGGAATAAACAAGGCAGAGAGAGCAGGATCAGTCAGCACAGACATCAACATTGCCTTTCCCTTCTCCCAAAGTCCATGTCTCATTTCTGGGGTAAGGAATACCTCCGTTAACAGCCAAGGGCTACAGAATCATGGGTAACTTTGCCATTAAGGAGTTTAGATTAAGGACATTACACTACTGACAGACAGCACATGGGACCATGAGTATGGAAAAGTCCATGGATTTAGTGCACAGACTCAGCTGCCATTATCCAGAATCCCGAATTTTCAGGACTTGAAGGACCCCAGGAAACCAGGACCAAGTTAACCAACCATTTCCCCCAGGTTAACAGCCAAAGCTCCACTTTCAACCATTCCTTTTCCATGAGCACTTCCCTCCACATCCATGCTCAGCATGGATGAGACAACCCTGGGCCAGGCGCAGCCTGTATGGACACACAGGCATCAGGAAGGGAACGGTGCTTCTCTTCATGTAGAGCTTTGATATGACTTGAAAACCTCAGAAGGGTTTTGGGAGGGTGTGTGGGGATGCAGAGCAACAGGAGGAAACATCCCAGAGAGGTTTATATATCACCTAAGACCTAGGTCTGGGTGGAAACAGACGGAGCAGAGGAAGCAAGAAGGGCAGGAGCTGCCCCAGGGACCCCATGGGCACTGACAGTGCCAGGGCTGAGCCACACTTCCCACTCCCCTTTCCGCATTCTCAGTGGGTGTTAAAGGCTCCTGAGTTTCAGACCTCCTCACCTTGCTCTCCTCATTAAAACCCCATTTGCTTTCCAGTTGAGAATGGCAGAACCCTGCTCCCCTGAGAGCTGCAGTGATTACGTTGTCATCTACTCGCTCAGTGCTGCAGGGTCTGTGGGGCAGTGTCAGAGCATCAGCCTCCAGCCCCAGGGGCGATGAAAGCAATCTGGAGCACAAGCCCCTTGGGTACAGCACATTCAAACCTCCCCATTGATGGGGCTGTTTTCCCACAGTGCAACCCAGGTTTGGACCTCCCAGGTAACCCCAGGAGGTGAGCAAGTCCATGGGCAGAAGGATGATGTTATGATGGGCACGTGGCTTGTTTCTCTGTGCCATTCTTGGCACTGTTGAATGGAGGGTTTGACCCAGCAGAAGAGCCACGCTCTGAAACATCTGCCCAGCACAGAATCAGAGTGGTTTGCATTAGAAAGGACCTTAAAGCTCATCCAGCTCCAACCCTGCACTGGACACCCCATTTCTACAACCAGATCTAACCCCATTCATTGGCTGAAAAGAGCCTTGGAATAGAACTACTTGAGCTCTGCATCAGGCACAAGCACTGCAGGACTCCGAGGAGGACACTGCTTCATGAACCAGAGCCTGCTGTCTGAGGGTGCTTCCAAGAAGACAACCAGCTCAGACTTGGCAGCATCATTTCTCCTCTTTATCTGTTTGGCCACAGCCTAAACCGTGCCCCTTCCCTCCAGGCAGCACAGTTCCATTTTCCTGGCACCGGGAAGGCCAGGAAAACCAGCGGATGGGTGGAACCGGCAGCTGGCACCAGGCTCCCAAGGCTGGGTTTCATTAGGATGGTGGGGAGAGCAGCCATGAAGTGTATTAAATGTATTACTGTGGATATTCCATTTCCTAATCCACCCTCCAGCATGGGAATGTATACTTCAGGGTACCATAAGGCTCTATATGAGATATTCAGAATGTAGAGACCTCAGAGCAGCTCCCAGTGCCTAAAGAAGCCCATGAGAAAGCTGGAGAGGGGCTTTGGACAAGGGCCTGCAGGGACAGGACAAAGGGAATGGCTTTAACCTGCCAGAGGGGAGCTTGGGGTTAGATACAGATTCTATGATTCTGACTCTTTGACCTGGGTACATCGTCTGGAGGGTGTAAATGGGTAACTTACACCTGTAAAGGCAAGGAGACCATCACTAGCTTCCAGTCTCTGACCACCGAGCCTCTAAGGGGCTGCTTTCTCCTAGGGGAGGATGGGGAGTTCCCTGTTTCAGGGCCATGTGCTGAGCTGCTCATGGGGTTGGATCAGGTCTACCTAACAACTGTTTGTTTTCTTACACCTTTAGATCAGTTTTGTCTTATTTAGTCCTTGAACTGCTGAGCTGGAACTGATTTCTTTGACAGGCACCAGCTCAGGGATGCTCCCCTAGAAGCAATGGGAAGGGTGAAAATATTCTCCCTCCTGAACATCCCTCCGTATCCACCATCCCCCTGTATCCGTCCCCTGCGTGATGGAGCCCATTGCCACAGTGAGTTTGGTTTTATCCTCTGCGAGTGGGGAGTGCCACTGCAACTCAGGATTAGCTAAACATAACATTAAACCTAAAGCACGGCTATTAATTTAATGGGCTCCTCATTACAACCATCATAAAACAAGTAAACAGGAACTGTGCCAGTGCCGCGCATCCCGCTCCGAGCAGCGGAACCAAGGGAGAGGCTGGAATTCTTCCATGTGATGGAGCTGGCTTGTAAAAATTCATCCCTTGCTTCTCCTTCAGTGGCCTTTTGACTGCTGCAGGAGCCTGTGGCTGGTGAATGCAGCAAAGCTGCATGGCTTGCAATGAGGAGGAGGGGAGATGCCAGGCCAGGATTTCCCTTAAATCACATCAGGCAAAATTAGAAGCTTACAAAAGGCAGAGAAATGGCTCTTTATGGGCTGCAGCAATCAAACAGCCTTCACAGCCCCTTTAACCCTTATTTACTTCTCTTTTGCAAGCCTCTGTGTTGGGACTTCTCCCTCTGCTCCTTACCTTCCAGTGCACTAATGGTAACTGCCTTGGGTTGCAGTTATTGGACTAAGTGGATGGTCAACAGGGTTGTCCAAACAGAGCATAAGCAGGGGGCAACAGACTTCTCTGTGTTCGGCTTGTTCCAAACATCAGTCAGGTCCTGTGCAGTGCTAGGGATCAGGGAATCATCACAGAATGGGTCTTAATGAGGGTGCTGAGGCGCTGGCACAGGGTGCCCAGAGAAGCTGTGGCTGCCCCATCCCTGGCAGTGTTCAAGGCCAGGTTGGACACAGGGGCTTGGAGCAAGCTGCTCTAGTGGAAGGGGTCCCTGCCTGTGGCAGGCGGCTGGGACTGGATGAGCTTTAAGGTCCCTTCAAACCCAAACCAGTCTGGGATTCTATAAAAGAGGATGCAAAGCAGGATTCAATACGAGCCTCCAGGTCCCTTCTGCCCCTTCTCCCACACTCCCGGGACAGCACATACAGCTCCCACACAACAGCTCCCACAGGAAAGAGCACAGGGCAGCAGGAACCAGACACAAGTACTATTAACACAGCAGAAATGAAATGGCTGGGTCAAGCACAAGCCACTCCACTGAGTGTGAGCAGGAAGAATGGCTAATTTAGGCCATTCACACAGGGAAAGCAGCTCTGGGAGGGGTTTGTTACGTACCCAGAGGGAGCAGTGGTTTCATCTGCAGCTTGGAAACTGAGGTTTGCTGCTCCTGCTGGGCAGAGGACAAAGGAAAGTTCTCTGCCATGCGCTGGGCTCTGTAACAAGTTTGAGAAGAGCACATGGGTCATTAAATACAAGACACGGAGCCCTTCGCTGACCAGTGGCTGCTCCATTTGCTCCCTCTGGGTTTGCCCCGGGCTGCACAATCAGTGCTCTGCAGTGTAATCACACACTGGAGCAAGAGGTGGAGGGGAGTCCTACACTATACAGTACCTATACTGCTTCCAGTGCTTGGACTGATGACCTTAAAGGTCTTTTCCAACCTAAGTGATTCTATGATTCTAACCCCCCAAAGACCAAGTCACCAGGCAAAGGGAAGCCGAACATGTTCCAAGACGCATCCAAGGCTGGCAACGGAGTGTTTTAGGGGATCAGACATAAACAACAGAGCAACAAGCTCCAGACAAACCCTTTTAACCAGGTTGGAAATGAAAAATAACAACTTGAAGGCCAAATTGAAAAATTCTGCTTGGGAAAAGGCACACGCAGCGGGAGCCCACAGGATTCAGCAGACTATAAAATGGGAAATGAGACTTAGTCTTCTCCCCCTACAGCTACACAAACCCCTCCTACATAGATTACAGAGCGCTCGGCAATTGCCTTCCTCCTCCAGCCTCTCCCGTTATGGCCAAAGCAGAGCCGGTAGGAGCCTGAATGCAGAGAAGATATTAGATAAAGCATCTTGCAAAGTCAAGTGTGAAATATTAACAACAGGAGGCAATGGGTTGTGTTTTTATGCAAGATCACAAATTTGGTGCTTACGGAGCCGGGGATGCTCTCGCACACTGGAATCTCAAAGTGCTCGTTGAATGTTTCATTTCAAAAGCTGTTGAAGCCTGCTGGAAAACGTCTATTGGTTCTGTTATTTGCTGTATCTCCTCTGGCTTTGTTGGTTTTGTTCTTCTCCCTTCCTGCAACACTAAGAAATGATGCATGAATAAAACAAGGCTGCTCCTTCCCTCATCTGGGCAGGTTCAGAACAATTCACATCATAAAGCACGTCCTCTGCAAGCCTCTGCTTTCACATGAAGTAACTACAGTTGTGCACGTTGCAGATACATCTGTACACACCGTGACCCTATGTGCACACAGAGCTGCAATAAATGGGCAGGCAAAATGGACATGCAATGTTCATCTGGAGGGAGCACCCATTAGGTAGGGTTGGTTTGAGTAGGTGAGACCGGTCATGGGTATTCCCGGACACAAAAGAACTCCTTTTTATCCAGCCCATGTAGCCCAGGGAGCAGCGTGGCTGCCCCTGCCCTACCTCAAACTTGCCTCCAATTCAGTTCCTACAATAGATGCAGACCTTGTTTATCCCGCTGTCCCGCTTGCCCATTAATGCCAGCTGTGCCAGTAGCTGTGTGATGAGGACATCTATTCAGCGCTGGACACCAGGCTCCGGGAAGAGCAATCTCTGCCACTTCAGAGCGTAACTGACACCTGCTGTCACAATCTTGCCTGAAAAACAAATTCATGCTCCAAATACCCAACAAAGAGTCAAGGAGAAACATAAAGAGCGGGAGCGTACGAGGGGATGCAGGGCTGCTGTCTGCTTTGCAAGGGCCCCGGTAGTGCAGGAGCAGCAAAGGGAGATCACTGACTCGAGGAGCTGCGTTACCTGCATGTTATTTACTCAGGCAGCAGCTGAGACCCTGCAAACTGAACTTCATCTTCAGCAGCTTCCCACTGACATCTCTGCTCACCGCATCCTCCCCTCGGCTCCGCTCCCTGAGCTGATGATGAGGGCAAGAGCAGCAAGAGTGCTCCTGGGCACAAGGAAACACCAAAGGAAAAGCACTGCCTGGAAGGCAGCTGAGACCATGATCCCCATGGACCTGATCACCGAGACTTTCATCACAGAGTGATGAACATCAAACCCAACACGGCAGGATGAAGGAGTGTCCCACTTTGAGGCACAGGTTGAACTCATCCTCAGGGGCTGAGCTAGACAAGCCAGACTGAAGCGTGCTGACATGCAAGAGGTGTATTTTCAGCTATTAACCACTCGGCCCCTCATCTGGAGGTACTGGATGGCCTCAGAAAGCCACTTTGTCCTTGTTGAGCTGCAGGACAGCCGCAAAGCACCTGGGCAGCATGAGCTGGAGATGCTACACTGATGATTTTAGGGCTGATTTCTCCTCCCCCTCCCTTCTGTCAATGGAGTTCAGTATCTGAATGATCACATCTGTTTATGTTTCACAGACACCTGCGTATCTTGAGATGACAGCAACTCCCTGAATGCTGTAATCAGTTATTTCTCAACAGAGGAATTGCCAATTTGGTAAATAAAGCTCATTATAAAAGAACATGGAAATGCATTACAGTTGCCTAACAGAGAAAATTGTCCAGCACCGCCAAATAATCAACCTGGTATCACAGCCCCCCCAGCTGAAATAATGACATGCAAATCGCTCACGCCAAGAGAACATGGGAGAGGGGCAAGAAGGGAAATGAGGAAGAGACAAAACAGATACTTTACAGACCAACAGTGATTTAAAACCTAGTCTGGGACAGACCTTGGTGCTCCACGTTCCTGCATGCAGAACCTGGCTGTCCCAAGCATATCCCAATGCCAGCACAGCAGCAAAAGCCCTCCCGAGCTGTTTGCTCCAAACAGCTTGTTTGGAAAACTTGCCTTTGGTGCAGCAAGTTCGACCTGCACAATGATAAAGAGCTGGGATCTTGGTCAGATAAGAGACTACAAAGGTGAGCCATGGGTAAGCAAACATCGCTGCTGAGGAGAGAGGGTTGGGGCATCAGCTCACCACAAGGAAAGGCGCTTTTGCTGTCTTAATGGAGATGTAAAGCACAAAGCTGCTGCCTAAAGAAAAGAAGAGGTGAAGCAGAGTAAAGCACAGAAACAATTCTCACCCCCCTCCATCCATTTTCATCAACACCACATTAAATTGTGACACAACCTCCAAAAATCCATGTTCATGACACTCAGAAACTGTCAGAGCCGCTCAGAGAGGACACAAGCAGCAAATGCTGCCAGAGGAGATGCTTCAGCCAGGAGAGGATCCAGTTCTAGAGCTCAAGCTCCCCAGGTTTGCTGACACATCTCTTGCTCCTTCCTCTGGGAGGATGAGGGATTCTGAAGAGGGGCTTTAGATAAGGAACACAGGGACAGGCCAAGGGGAATGGCTTTAACCTGCCAGAGGGGAGACTGAGATGAGCTCTTAGGCAGAAGCTCTTCCCTGTGAGGGTGCTGAGGCGCTGGCACAGGGTGCCCAGAGAAGCTGTGGCTGCCCCATCCCTGGCAGTGTTCAGGGACAGGTTGGACACAGGGGCTTGGAGCAAGCTGCTCTAGTGGAAGGGGTCCCTGCCCATGGCAGGGGTTGAAGCTGGAGGAGCTTTAAGGTCCCTTCAACCCAAACCAGGCTGGGATGCTATGATGAAATGCCAGATGAACACTGCTCACACCGTCCCTCGGCTCTGCAAGGAGAAGGCTTGAAACAGAGCGCAGGGCTGAAAGAGATGGGGGTGTAGTCAGACAAAGCAGGAACTGCACACAGAGATAACTTGGGCTCTGCATTCAGCAGGCAGAGGCTTTTTCAGTGTGATTCACCACCCCCGTTCCCTCCAGCCAAGACTCTGCACTCTTCCAAGTACTCTCAAACAAGCCAAAGTCATTCAGACCACAACCAAAACGAACAAGTTTTATGATTTATAAACTGCGACGTGAAATATTCCTGTTCCTCACCCTAGCTGGGAGGTTTTGTTGGCATGGGCAGCAGGCAGAAAACAGCGACTGACAAAGTGCTGGGGCTGGAAGGATCTCA